ATCAAAAGCCGCCCAGCTGATTCCCCCAGTGGGATGAAAACAAGGGTGGCTTTGCCTTGCCCCATCATGGGGTGGGTGGTTGGGTGCCCAAGGACCTGGATGACTCTTCCCTCCCAACCAAGAGACCACGGTGGGTGTCAACCGAGAGGGCATCTTCTCCTCTCTCGTCAGCACCCCCGATTCGCCCACTCCAGGGTCTCGCCAATGGCTCTTTCGCCATCTGTGATTCTGTGCCAACGTTGCCCCTCACTCCTTTCTACAGCATAGTTCTCGAAGAGGTCGCTTTGCCTTCGTTCGTCCGTGCAAGCCTATCAGGCAAAAATCCAAAGATTTAGCCAGGGATTGCGTGAGAGATCGGTGAGTTGGGTCTCTGGCTGCAAAGCCAGAGGTTGGGAGTTCGATTCCCCCATGGGACCTCCTGGAAAAAGAGCCAGCCTGGGTGGCCTTGGGCCAGCTGCACAATCCCACAGCACCCCCTAGAGGAAGGGAAGGGTAAAACCACTTCTGAGGACTCTCCCTAAGTCTCCCAAGAATGAAAAAGAGAGAAAGAAAAAGAAAGATAAAATAGGATGAGTGGAAAGGATGGCCTCTGTTTAACCATTTTCCGATACGAATTCTCATATGTTACAGACTACCGCGTGGTAGAGGAGTGTATAGCTTTGCCGTTGGGTGTTTAACTTTTTGATGTTCCCCCTTCTTAAAAGCTGTTACTAGCGCTGCCGCACTTTGTTATACTATGTGTTGTGAAACTGCCCAGAGTGACCACTGGTCAGATGGACAGTATAAAAATTGAACGAACAAACAAACATTTATAAAAGATACACAGTCTTTTCTTGGGCTTTTAAAAGAGGGGAAGATTTCACTTGGAAAACAATGTGGGAGTGAAAAGTTAAGCATAACTTCCTGTATTTCCATCACCCTCACCAGAGCTTAGAAATGTTAATTTTTTGGACAATAGATCCTGGAATCCCTCAGGCCATGCAGTTCAAAACGATAGCATCATGAAAGAGTATTATAAGCAGTTGCAGGTCTCTAAAATAACACCATGAGAGCTACAAAAATGGCAATATTAGGAACATCATACATACTGCACCAATATTTAACAGATATTTAGGTTTTTGGTTAAAACTTGTATCGGTTATATAATACCAGTCAATGTTTTTATAATTCCGATTGACTGTGCCTGGTGTTTTTGAACAACAATTTTCAGGCCCTTCTTCCATGGCTGCATTTAAATGAGAACCATCTCATGTTAATCTTGTTTTGACCCTCATTTTAACGATCTCTAGCTTATGAGTAGATGTGACCTTTTATGACTAGAGCTCTATTCAATTTGTATATAGAGGAAGGAGAATGTCATGTTTGAGCTGTCTTTCCCAAAAAAGGAAACATTCCCTGCAGATAGAAAACTAGCCTACACGTACCCTTCCTACCATGCTAGTTTTCTATGTGCGGGGGCCCATGTATCCTATAGGCTAGCTTATAATTTTCAATTTGCATGAGAGTCCTTGCAGTAAGAAGTTTATGTGAATCTTCAGCAGCCTAATCCAGAATCAAGTTGAGAGCTCTTGACCGCTATTTGTAAGAATCAGAATTTGTAAGAATCCGGGAACAAATCTGTGCACAGGTAAGAGTTAAATGGAATGTATGGGGGGCCTTGCATAAACACCTAACCCATCTCTAGGATTTGCATACACACTGTCTCCCAGATAGTATCTTGGAGAAACCGGGGCTTTTAATTTCAGCTCACCCTGGCTGTCTTTTCAGAAGTTTTGCCAAGCCGTTTGCATCGAGCCGCGTGGTTTGCACTAATCAAGGCACTCTTTATGAAGTTTAACCTGCGGTTAGATTACTATCTGAACCTGGGCTGTTTTTCAAATTACCCTTTAAAAACTTCTCTACTGTGCAAAACTGCCGATCTTATTTATCGCACAGCGTAGTTAAACAAAAGTTATGCTATTGTGTCCCACATGAATGATGCTGTTTGCCTCTTCCTTTCTGCCACCCACCTTTCACCAATTTGCTCGTTTTCTAATAACCTGCTAGAACTCTTATTTCAATTATGCTTACAGATACCATTGAAGGCAGATGAGGGGGGGGGGAATCAAACCAAACAGAATGGATTGTGTAACTGCTCCAGCTTCCTCACGCCTTAAAATTCAGACCGGTTTCTTTTGTTTGCTGGCTTGTGTTAGCACTTCTGTAGCAGTGATACAGCTTCCCGTTTAATAGACTTTAGATTTTAAGAATTATTCCCAGTGTTCAAAGGGTTTGTGGAGAATGGGGCTAATAAGCCCATTTGAAACAAGCGAAATGGCCATCAAAGATAGGAATTCAAATACAATCAGGCGTTTATGGAGAATCAAAATACAGTGTCAGTCTGTGCGTTATAAAAACCAGATTCGTGTTTTAATGAAACCACCTCAAGAATCTTTTCTGATCAATGAGCCTTGGATGAGTGGTGGGATCTGAACTCGCTTCCAGATACTTACAAAGACAAACTTTGATGGTGCCCTAGTGCAAGGGTGGGTGGGCAACATGGGGGGGCAGAATCCCTCCCCCATTTTTCTTCACTCTAGAAGAAAAAAATGTGTACCTCCGAAACTCCCCTTAAAAGCCAATGTGAGGACCATTTTGCCATGTTCTGAGGGGTCCCCAGCACTTGGTGAGGACCACTCTAGAACCTTGTAATGAGGGTGAAAGAGGAGAGTGCAAAAAACGGTCTAAAACTAAACATTAAAAAAAAAACTAGGATCATGGCCACTGGCCCCATCACCTCCTGGCAAATAGAAGGGGAAGATATGGAAGCAGTAACAGATTTTACTTTCTTGGGCTCCATGATCACTGCAGATGGAAAAAGCAGCCACGGAATTAAAAGACGCCTGCTTCTTGGGAGGAAAGCAATGACAAACCTCAACAGCATCTTAAAAAGCAGAGACATCTCCTTGCCGACAAAGTTCTGCATAGTCAAAGCTATGGTTTTTCCAGTAGCGATGTATGGACGTGAGAGCTCGACCATAAAGAAGGCTGACTGCCGAAGAATTGATGCTTTTGAATTGTGGTGCTAGAGGAGACTCTTGAGAGTCCCCTGGACTGCAAGGAGAACCAGCTTATCCGTTCTAAAGGAAATCAACCCTGAGTGCTCACTGGAAGGACAGATCCTGAAGCTGAGGCTCCAATCCTTTGGCCATCTCATGAGAAGAGAAGACTCCCTGGAAAAGACCCTGATGTTGGGAAAGAGTGAAGGCAAGAGGAGAAGGGGACGACAGAGGACGAGATGGATAGTGTCCTTGAATTGACCAACATGACTTTGACCCAACTCCGGGAGACAGCAGAAGATATGAGGGTCTGGCATGCTGTGGTCCATGGGGTATGACCAACATGACTTTAACCCAACAGACAGCAGAAGATACGAGGGTCTGGCGTGCTCTGGTCCATGGGGTCAAGAAGAGTCGGACACGACTTAATGACTAAACAACAACAAAGTTTTGGCTATTCAGAGACTGGACAATGCCAGGTGTACACCATCACCTAAATGCTATTGCTCATTGAAATACATTACACTCAAGTAAGCCCACTGAACCAATGGGAATTTGCTAAGTCAACTTCTTCATACGTTTCATTGTTTCAAATGGCACTACTCTACTGCAACCTACTGTGCTAAAATAAGTCAAAGTTAGAGTAGGTTCACTTGAATCAGTGGAATTTACTGAGGAGTTGTCTCACCAAATGGCCCAAGTGGTGTCTTACACATTATAGAATGAGGAAGGAAAACATTTATCAACCAAGATGTGGTGACTGAAGTTGCCATTTTCTCCCAACAAGCATTTCAAATAACAGATGCACAGGTTCAAATATTTCAGCAAATTTATTTTTTTTCCCATTGGAAGTAGAAAATGAAGGGGAATTAGAAAAGTAAAGTTCTGTATACAACAGGTGCAGGAGCTTTGGAATTCCAAATGTAGTAATCTGAAGAAAGCAGTTCTCGAGCTGGAGTTAAAAGAAAAGGACAGGAAAAAAGTTCTTAGATTTCATCTTAAAATACATAAATGGCATGATGGATAAAAAGGAACATGTTTCTTCTTATTTATCTCCTGCAAGAGACTGGATGTCATTGTGGCTACTCTGACATCAGACATGGCAGGTGGCTATAATGATGCTGGGTGCCATCCAAGCCCATCACAAAGTTCCTCCATAGGTTATTTCCTCCTTTCTACAATTCTTATGAATAACCAGCTGAAACAATAGGTGCTTTTTGTTTCTAGTGATATGACTGCAGTAGTCTAGCTTTCTGCAATTTTATGTGTTTTTATGATTTTCCAGCCTTCATGTTTAAAGTTTCAAATATTTGCACCTGTATATCACGTACAGTGGTACCTCGACTTACGAACATCTCTACCTACGAACATTTCGACTTACGAATGGCTCTGTCCGCAAAATTTAGCTTTAACTTGCGAACAGAGCTTCGACTTATGAACGAAAAAAACCCTTTCCTAGCCTTTTTTTTTACCTAAGTTGATCTTAGGTCAAAAGAAGAAAAAAATAAAAAAAATTCTCCCCCTAGTGGTAGAGTATGGATTAACCAGCTTTGCATTAGTTCCTATGGGAACTAATGCCTCTAGTTGTGAATAGTGCCTCGACATAACGAAAAACACCCAGAACGGATTAAATGGTTATAATGAAAAACACCCAGAACGGATTAAATGGTTTTCAGTGCATTCCTATGGGAAAAACTGCCTCGACTTACGAACGTTTCGATGTATGAACGCCATTCCAATATGGATTAACTCCGTAAATTGAGGTACCACTGTAATAGGAACATAAGAAGATGCTCAACCATATCCAGAGTCAAACCCTTGCTCTATGCAGCTCAATGCTATCTGGATTGGCAGCAGTGGTCCAGGATCCTTTCCAAGCCTTATCTGCAGATCCCTAGCATTCTTTGTTGGGTCTCCCACTCTAGTATTGATCAGGGCCATCCCTGCTTAGCTTCTGAAATCAGATACATCTCTGCATCCAGCGAGTAGGGTGCTATGTAATAAAAAGCGGTAAGATTTTACCTAGACATTACAATATGGTAAAGTTCAATTCTGCAGGGGGAAAAAACTGTGAAGTAGCTGGTGAGTGGCAAACTCACCTGGGTTGCTTCCTAATCTTATTGGTTTCTCCTGAAATTGGCAGTTATGAAATGTGCGGCTCACCTGTGCTGATCTTCGGCTTTCCTAAAGAAAAGACCTGGATCGAATGCTGATCTGTATAACAGCCAGTCAGGGTGAAGTCCAGGATTCTAAAGTAAAGCTGCGGACAATCAAGCAGAAAACATGGATGGAGGTGCACAGATTCTTGCTTCCAACGGAAAAACAAACTGTGGTGCGCAAGAAGAGTAGCAGCAAAAGAGGCTGCTGCTCAGTGAAGCAGATTGGCGAGACCCATCCAGGCCAGTCTACGGCCCAGTACAATGCATGCATCCATTCAATTTTCATTCTGCCTTTCTCCACATCTAAATCTTAGTATGTCTGAGTTCGCTAGCTGCTAGAGCACTGCAATTCATTCAGCTGTTTTTACTTAAGAACTTTTTGTTTTACTTAACATAAGAACTTTTTGTTTTTTGCTTGAAAAATGGTACTTCAAACGGTGTTAGGAATAAAGCTCGGCCTCCGTAAGTGGTCCTTGGGCTGGTTATTTCTAGTGAAAGGAGAGCCTGAAAAAGTTACCTTTTTGTATTTTTACAGTAAGCTGAGAATGTTATAGCCGGCTGTGTTTAGTACAACGGAAGAGTAAAATTTCCAGGCTACGGAGGATGTGCTCATTGCCACTCTGCATCCTTGCACGCCAGAGGAGAAGCGATCCACTGTCTGACAAGAGAAGATCCAGGGGCCCAATGGTTTCCCCGGCGTCTGCTCTTATCCAGAAATAAAGCTTCCAACCCCCCCTCCGAATGAAAGCCGTCCCTGGGAGAATCTACCCTTTAAGGACAACCCCCTTCTTAGGTACTACTCCCGTTGAATAGCCACAATCCATAGAATCTCTTGGAGACGACGACTTACTTTGACGTAGGCGGTGGTCCCAGCACACACCGGATCCACTGGCTGCCCCTGGCACACAGGACCAAAAGCGATGCTCCCAGTAAGGAAAATTTCCAGGGATTTGGGAAATTTTTGCCCTTCAAAGAGGAAAAGAAAAGACTTAGAGTGGTCATTAACAATACAGTTGTACCTCAGTTTGCAAACGCCTGTTTACATAATTTTCGGTTTACAAACCGAAATCCATAAGAAATAAAGCCCTGGTTTATGTTGTTTTGTTTTTTTCTTTTCGCACTACGAAAGGGTTTTCCCATGGTGCACTGTGACTATAGCGCCACCCCTTTCGTAGCGCAACTGGTTTTTTGGTTTGCGAAATTTCCGTACTACATAACGTCACATAGAACGGATCCGTTTCACAAACCGAGGTACTACTGTATTTAGTATTTTTGTGGCACTTCCCTGAAGCCAGTGGGCCACATCCTTCCCACCACCCTACTGTTTGGGAGTTTCTCAGGCATCAAGCTTCCCCTCCAGTTCTAAAAGTCTGAAAGGTCTCAGGTGACATTTAAATCACTTGAGTTCAGCTTAAAATGCACTCAGGTTCACCTTAAATACACTGCTTTCACCTTTGGCCCTCCGTCCCACCAAGGCAGATGCCCCTCCACCAGGATGAGAGCTTTGAAACCAAATTTGGCCTTTAGGCTGAAAGGGTTTTCCAACCTTAACTTCATCAGGGGTCAAATCAGGCAGAATGGATGCAGAATCCTACGGCTCAGTCCAGATCTGCTTGATAACGTTGGGAGAGGGGTGAACAGCTCGATTTAGAGAGCAAAAGGAGCATGCGAGTGAGGAACCCGATATTTCCCTCACCTGTAACCGACCCTTCCACTGTCTGCCCTCATTCCAACACATACTCAAAGCAAGCTCTGGGCTAATTCTTAGGCGTACAGGAAGCAAGGAAAGGATACTGAAAGAGGTTCAGCTCATCAGGGAGAGGGTGGTAGAGAGCCAGGAGACCATCTGAGAGGAACCGCCAGGAAATACTGTTTCAGATGTGGGTTAAAAGGCAGGGTTTCCTGAACAAGCTTAATAAAGATGGATGAAAGAAAAGAAAGGACAAGCTTACCTATGACCCAAACCAGCAAGCTCTTCTCTTTCAAAACCTCAAGTTGTCCGTGGCTGACTTTATATTCCAGGTGTGCAATGGGACCCCTGCCATCAAAAGAACATCTGAATGGCTCAGAGCTGCTTTGCTACATGGTGGAAAACTGACGCAAAAACCCACCACGTCTATCTGAGGCGCACTTGTTGTGAAGCAACAAGGGCATTAACTGAAGGAGGGCGCACAAGACGTACCTCTATGTTGTTCTGAATCAAATTGTTTCGAATGATGCACTGGTGGACTTTGTGGGCTTTACCTTATTAAGCACAAACAGGGACACCCTGTCTTATATCAGGGCTGGCCGTCTTTCAAATGAGTGGATAATCCTGGTGTCTCCAGGGCCAATTTTAGACTTAGCTGAATTCCACCACCTAATGCCAAACAGTGGTGGTACGGCAGCAACTGGAAGTCTCTCTCAACCTCTCTCTCTTTGTATGGGTGGGGGAAGGAATACCAGATCATCCTTTTATGCTATAACAGAAGAGAGTGTGAGCATGCAAGAGAGAGTCATTCACACCTTATTTTAGAGGAGAATTGTGCTTCTTGGGGGAATCGGAGGGTGTGATTTATCTCCATAGCAAGATACGTGCACTAACATATTATTTCAGCATGTAATAGCAGTTTGTTTTCTTGAAACATGATGGTGTTTTCTTCACTGGCTGTAGAAGCCACTAGGCAACTGGCTGTGTTCTGTGAGCTACGTAATGCCCACCTCCTGCTATAAAATACGAACTGGAGATCTGAGCCAAAATAATGGCCTGCCACTGCTCATTGTGATTCACTGGCTAAAATCCTGTTGCACAGCTTACACCTGTGGGAAGGGTGACAATGTCACTGGCAGGGGACAATTTTTAGCAATAAAACACTTCCTACTCCTGTCCTGTGGCTTTTCTGACTCCTACGTAAACCCTTTCATCGTGAAAGGAGTGGTCCTCACCCGACCAGATAGGCATGTGGAAGCTATGGGATGGAAGAAGGAAGTCTTCAATTTTTGAAAATTTCCTCCACTGGTAACGGCGTCCAGTGACATCCAGTAATTAAGGACTTCTTCTGTCCACAGTTCTTTGGTTTCCATGCAATGAAAGGAATTACATGGAAGTTGGAAACTCTGAATGATCACCAAATACTAATCACCAAGTATCACCTCCAGCCTGTGATAGCTTCACTCGTATTATTTCTTTATTTAAAATATTTTACCCTGTATTTCTCCTTGAAAAGGACCCAAGGTGGCTTAAAACAATGAAAGACAATAATTAAAGTTGAAAAAAAATAATGTGGTTAACATTATTTAAAAACAGTATTTAAAATGACAGTGAATAAGGAGACATCTTACATCACTAACAGGCAATATTAAGGCAAAGATCAGTAAGTATACAAAAATTAAAGAACAACAACACTCACACCCCCTTTGCAGATGTAAGCTACACAACAGAATTTCAGCCACTATATTAAACAGAGAGAATATGCATTTAAGGCCACAGGCAAGGGCTGCATCAAGCTGAACATATCAAAAGGCACACAGCCGATCGTGACAAAGCAACAGTTGGACACACCCCCTTTGCAGGTGTAAGCTACACAACAGAATTTCAGCCACTATATTAAACAGAGAGAATATGCATTTAAGGCCACAGGCAAGGGCTGCATCAAGCTGAACACATCAAAAGGCACACAGCCGATCGTGACAAAGCAACAGTTGGATCACCATTAGGTAAGGCTTCTGGAAAGGGAACTGGGAGTATCCTGAGGTGCAATCTATGTTCCATCCACCCCGTACCCTGTTCTGTTTCGGGGCTGACTTAGTGCTGTGCACGCACACACCCATGTTTCCACCAGCCATCTTTCTTACTCAGCAACAATTTGAAGTTGTCTGTTCTTTCTGCTCGTTTGGCTGCCCTGAACATTGAGGATTGTAAGTACAGTGGTGCCTCGCTCAGCGATCACTCCGTTGAGCGATGAAATCGCTTAGCGAAGGGGTTTTGGCCATCACCAGAGCAATTGCTTAGCGATGGCCCCTATGGGGAAAAAATCGCATAGTGATGATTGCGGGAAGCGATCACCGCAAAACCCCCATTTTTGGCCAGCTGATCGATAGCAATGATTGCGGGGAAGCAATCACCGCAAACCCCCCATTTTCGGCCAGCTGATCGGCAGTTCCAAAATGGCTGCCGGAAAATAAAATGGCTGCCCGCTGCGTTGCCTCGCTTTAGAGGCACTGAGAATGGCTGCCACAATGGAAGATCTTCGCATAAGGTTAGTTTTAATGCCCATAGGAACGCATTAAACAAGTTTTAATGCGTTTCTATGGGCTTTTAAAAATCGCTTAGCGATGTTTTTTCTGGAACGGATTAATGTCGCTAAGCGAGGCACCACTGTAGGCTCAAACAGAAGCTTCACCCGGCTGCAGTCGCCCTTGGGCCGATCGGAGGCTTATCACCCCTTGCTCCTTGAGACAGAGAAGAGGCCTGGTGATGTTGTGGTTAAACTTCAGCACTGCAGTCAAGACTCTGCTCCTATCCTGAGTTCGATCCTGCTGGGATCAAACTCACCCTTCCAAGGTGCTTGAAATTCTACTGGCAGGAAAAAGGAAGACAGAGTTATACTTACTGGTTGAAAAAAGGAACACGGGCTTCACAGTACTCGAAAGTGTTTTTCACACTCTCGTGAAGTTTCAGATGAACGGAGAACTTCCACTGCGTTTCTTCTTCTTTCAGCTGGTAAAACCCCAAAATGGGTGGGACAGGCACCTGGGCAGAAAGTGGGACTCTTTATGTTCCTATTTTAAGATCATTTTTGATGTGTTTCATCAATGATTTGTTTTGTATTTTTGGTAAATTGTAAGCTACCCTGAGGCTTCTTTGGAGGTATGTGATAAGAGTGCAAATTCTAAAATAAAGTACATTAAAATGTATTCCAGATGTCAGATACAAACTCTCTGACTGCTAAACAGTAAGATAATTAGGCAGAAACTGTTTAATTCTGATGGAAAATAGGAATTAACTACTCATTTGCAAGCTAGATTCTCTAAAACCACTGAACAGCAGGGTGCTGCAAATATTTCTAGGATGAAGGCCAAAATTCGCCCACTCAAAGCATGTAATGAGCCGGAGGGCCATTGCCTGCTTACAGATGCCTTTCAGAATCACATCACTGGGAAGGGATTCTCTGTTGTTTAAGAGGCCAAATTATGCTACAGTGAGGTACGATGGCTATTTCGCCTTCTATCCATGAAGGAAAAAAAGCAATATTTCTTTAAAAGCAAAACATTTTTGTATTTTGATCCTCTGCTGTCATTCCTCTGCAGTTGCTGCTGCTTTTCACAACCTGTTAAGTGCAGGCTGCCTAAATAATCTTGCTTCCATATGGACTCCATGTAATTCAACGCTCCTCTACCAGTGGTTAGTGTGACTCTTTATTTTAAGAGCCTTTTGTAAGCTGCTTCAAGAGTGTCCAGGAGCTAGCATGTAACTATTCCTCGTAAGGAAATTAAAAAGTATATGCATAACTGGGATGAAACAAATTTGCTTTCTTTTTATCTTTCCTTTCAACTTTCTTCACATGAAGACTAGCTACCCTCTCTGTGCTGCATGTTGCACCTTGGCCTTCCGGGGGACCCTTCTTCATGGCTCCCATTGTTACCAATAGTTATAGGACGGGCCCAAGGATCAACCCCCGCCCACATTTCCCCTACTCAGGCTGTGGGTACGGATTTTCCCCCCCTTCCTGTCTGTGTCCAAACCCATCCTCTACGGGGGCTCTTGGCAGACTCTCTCCTGCTGAATCTACTTTTTTTCTGGCCGAGACGCCACCAGTTTCCAGAGGGAGGAATTTCATGTGACACGGTGTCCACCAGCAACACCAAGAAGGCATTTTGCAATCTTCCTAGTAAGCTTGCTGTAAAAATATTCTTCACCTCCTAAAAACTGTTGGCTCAAGGAAAGGTCATGGGGTGGTGCCTGGGCAGCTCAGTTTTCCAGTTTCCAGGTGACTCTTTGGCAAACCAGGGGCAGGGACATCTCTCTCTCTCTCTATGGGCCAAATACAAATTAGGCAAAATTCTTGGGGGCCAAAAGTACTAGAAAAGAATAGCTTGAGAGTCTTCCTTACCAGTAACGAAGCCTTAGGAGATCTATTTCCACTTTTCTGGATGAAGGAAAAAGCTTGTACACATGCTAAAGCAGTTGAGGAAGGCGGGGCACCCCCCCCATGCTCACGCACATGTGCAATGGATGCTCGAGTGGGCGCGCACATGCACAAAGGGCTGCGGGGGGTTGGGGGGCAGTCGCGCACATGCGCAAAGGGGCTGTGCGGAGGGGAGTGCGTGCGAGGTGGGTGGGAGATCTATCTCCATGGCCCGGTCCAACCCAGGCCACAGATCGGGGGTTGGGGGCTGCTGTGCTAAATGATGGGAGAGGTCCCCAACCTTTTAAACGCCGTAGACTAGTTGGGGAAGGCGGGGCACCCCCCCATGCTCACGCACATGTGCAATGGATGCTCGTGTGGGCACGCACATGCACAAAGGGCTGCGCGGGGGGTTGGGGGGCACTCGCGCGCATGTGCAAAGGGGCTGTGCAGATGGGAGTGCGTGTGAGGTGGGTGGGAGATCTGTCTCCGCGGCCCGGTCCAACCCAGGCCACAGACCGGGGTTTGGGGGCTGCTGTGCTAAATGATGGGAGACAGTGTGTTCACCTGGGGCTCTCGGAGGACCAGGTTTAGCCCCATGGCCTGAGGTCCCCCCAACCTCTTCTAGATATTGCTCTCTCTGCTCACCGCCACGGCTTCCCTGCTGCCAATGCCGCTCACCTGCTGGTACGGCCGGAGGAGGGGTGAGGTGACAGGCAGCCAGGACCAAGAGAGGCAGCAGAATCAGTGACTTTACCTGAGACGTATAAAAGCAGAGGCTGAAAAGGTCCGGAGGAGGGATTAAAGGGAATTTGTAAGGTCCGCTGAAAGCCAAGTCGTCTGTTATATCGACGCTGCTGGAGGTGAAAATGGCCGAGTCGAGGGACGTCACGCAAGGGTGAACCAAAACATCCTGGAGCGGAGAGCCGTTGGCAGGCAGGTTGAGGCCAATAGTCACATTGGGAGCCGTCCCTTCGATGTCACACTTCAAAGAGGAAAAAGCAGAAGCTGGGCTTCAGAACGTCATCGTGATCATCTACATCTCTATCTTGCCTTCCCCCCCCACGAACCCAAAGTTGTATACAAGGCCATCTTTCTTCCACCCTGTTTCCTCTCTCACAACAACCCTATGAGGTTGGCCAGGTGGAGAGGGAGAGATGGCCAGGGCCAGAGTCGCCCAGGGAGTTTTATGCCCGAGTGGGCACGTGATCCCCCGCCCCTAGATCCCAGTCCAGCACTCCAGAAAGGCATCTGTTGAACAGTAGCAGTGGGCGTTTATTTTTCTCCTTTAATGCCAAGTGGGCTGAGAACATTCTTTTCTAGCTGAGAGCTGAAAATGGCAGTTGCACTGATGAGAAGGAAGACACCCACTGCCTGTTACCCACCGTGGGCTGAGTTGTTCGTTGCGTGGGATTCCAGTTGAACTGACTACATTGAAATACAAGAGCAAAACTAATTTCTGCCGTTTTATTTCGCCATTTGTTACAAACGTGTACTTGCTTCTGCATGTTACAAGGCAGCAAAGTCTACTGAGTCTAGGGCAGTGGGTCTGGGGGAGGGCCCCACACACACACCTTGAAAAAATCCATTTAAGATCAGGCTTTCAAAGGATTAGAAGTGTGACAGAGAACATTTCTCACATGTGTACTAGAGGTTGGTATAACAACAAAATCAGTTGCAGAATGGATGCTTTGAATGTGCAATGGTGCAAACATGGTTATTTTTCAACTATGCCCTTTTCCCAACTTTTATTAGCCCTCAGGTATCACCTGTTGAGAAAGAATTTTGGGGGCGGGGGGAGATAATGTCTGCTCTGGAAGCCTCCAAGATCAGAGTGTTCGCATAGACCAGATGAGCGGGATATAAATCAAAGAAATCAAAGAAATCAATCAAATAAATAAATAAATCATAAATTGGGGTGCAGGATCTTCCTGCCTACTCTGAAAGCCTGCAAAAATGAAAAGTGGAAGTGGAATTCGAGCAACATCCAGTATGGAATGGTTCACCACAGTATTTTGCTCACCATTCAGAAAGGAAGCTTACTCAGTCAGTCCGTCTAGCCCTGCACTGCCAACTCTGCGTGCCAGTGCAGGGTTTCAGGCAGATTCTTGGAATTCCCTGTTGGTCTTCCATCCAGATACTAACCAGGCCCAGCACCACTCACCTTCCAAATTCATACCAGACTGCGTGGTGTTCAGGGTGGTGTTCTGCGGCCTGTCATTAGGCATCGGATGGAAGTTCCTGTTTACAAATTGACTTCAAATCATGGTTTCTGGAATCTTGTTTGCTGGCTGATCGCAGCCAACAAACACAATGGTAGATGAATTCAAATGTCATGCCGGGCAACAGTAAATATTTCTTTACTCTAAAGTCAAATTTGAAATGAGCTACCGTTCTCAGTGTAATTTATCTTGACGGGTAATTACGAGGAGAAATGTTAAGATTGCAAGCAAAAAAAAAAGCATGCTAAAAAGTGATACTGGAATGATAAAATATTAGTAGCAACATCTTTCAATTCTTATTTAAGCTAACAAAACTAGGAGCTAGGTGTGCAACAGCATAACTACAGAGGGATTTCATTCTGGTTTAATTCACCAATCTAAAAAAAGCAGTATCTTCTCTGCAGCATGCTGAAGCATTAAAAATATTAAGTTCTGCTTCCCCATATGCCGAGATAAAAATGAGCTGAATTTCTGCTTTTCCAGGTGCATTCATGTGTCAAATAGGTTAGAGAGATTTGCACTAAAAATCGTCTCACCTTGCAAGTTACAGTTCCATAAACCTGCCACATGTCCACCACGTCCCTTTTGTCATATTGCACAGATCTGACTTTTTCGGTGATACAAACATTCACTTGAGGTTTTCCTTTATAAGTGCAGCTCCTCCAGGCGGGCGGTTTCTGAGGGTGACTACTGGGAGCCCCAGGATGGTTTCCCCACAATGAGCTGTTCAAGTTTGTGTCTAGCGGGGTGCCGAGCGGACAGGCCTGCATGAGCAGACTTGGAAGCTGGCCAATCTTGGTGTTCCTCTCTGCTTCGCTCTTCTGACCGCAGCTCATGAAACCCATCATCCCGGCCAAGAGGCCCAAGGCCTGAGAGATCCCGCTGATACTGAAGAGAGGTGGGCGGGGCGTTACAGTTTGCTCAACCAGCGGCACGCTGGCGTAAATCAAGCTGCTCATTTGGAAAGCCACCACAGGCCAGAGGTCTTCTCCTCCTCCTCCATCCACCTGCAGGGCACAGACGGATGTCTTATTGATCCGAGAACAGCCGTCTCTGCGTTCTATGAAATGTTGGTCCCCATCCGTCAGCTTCAGTTCAAAAAGCAGCGCTTTGAGGAAAGGACCGTCTTCCGGCATGGGCACATAACTTGATCCGTTGAAAATTTTTGCTCGCTTTTCGACAGTGGGGTAACGTCTGCAAGGTGGAAAGAGAGGTAAAATCAGCAGGGTGAACATCTTGTAATGCAGCTAATAGATCCATACATGCAGCGGGATGGCTACCTGCTCAGAGCTTGGCTCAAAGGAATTCTTTTGTAACATGGAAGGCCATTCAAGACTTCTCTATCATCATTCTGTATTAGTAGTTCTCAACCTTGGGTAACCTGTGTTCTTGGACTGCAGTTCCCAGAAACCCTGGCCAGCACAGCTAGTGGTGACAGCTTCTGGAAGTTCCTGTCTGAGCATGTCTATTTCACCCAAGATTGGGAACCACTGTTCTATATGATTAGATACATGGCAGAAAACCAATCACACATTAGGCCAACAATGAAGTTTGTTCACCAAAACATGCTTCAGGTTCTCTCATGGTTCCTTAATATACCTTCACATGTCAGATCAGCATTTTCATAGAATCATTAAAAAAAGTGAAGTTGGAAGGGCCCTAGAAGGCCATCAAGTCCAACCCCCTGCTCAACGCAGGAATACAATAAAATCATATCTGCTATGTGATGATCCAAGTTTTTCCTGAATGCCTCCATTGTTGGAGCACTCACAAACTCCCGAGGTCACCGGTTCCATTGTCGTACTGCTCTAACAGTTAGGAAGTTTTCACTGATATTCATTCGAAATCTGGCTTCCTTTAACTTCAGCTCATTGTTTCATGTCCTGCAACAATTTTGTGCCCAGGCTGTTATGTCCAAGTGTTTCTGCGTCCCCCATCTCAATTTTTTTCCAAGGGGGAATAACAGCATGAATCACGGCGTTCTACACACAAGCGTTTGAGTGTCATGCACATACGTATACTGAGAACATCTTGCCATAAGATTGGCTCAGTGGCAGAGCACATGTTTTGCACGTGGAGAATTTGTACCTGGGACATTCTACATCTCCAAGAAGGGCTAGAAAATAATTGTGCAGAGTGATTTAGACAGACTGAGGTACTGACACAGTATATGGCATTTTTGATGCAAAAAGGATCCTCAGTGGTCTTGAATCACTTCCTCCGATCAGGACACTATATTCTGAGAAATCCAGAGCCCTTCCTGTTGATAGGTTTAATACCAATAAAACAGATAAATCATTTGAACCCCATCCTCGCATCATTCCTGTCCTCTCTTATACTGGTGAAACAATGGGTTATCTCTGCCTGCTCAAATCATCAGAACAAACAATGGCTCCTTTTAAACCGCAGTCTCTGGCTTCATTCTCCCTTTATTTAAAGGGTTAAAATATCAAACTCTTGCATTGACAACAGGAGAACAGAAAACTGCATATTTTAAACAAATGGATTGATTTAACTACTACGTTTGTACAGTAATTATTTTTAAAAGACTCCAATGTCAGAAGTGAGGTTTTCCCCTGCCCCCAAATAAATTTAATTTCAAAATGTCAGGTTGACAGTGTCACTTTAAAGTACAGTAGGAACGAACAAAAGAGGATAATTGGCATTATGTGGACTCGGTGTTTGAACCTGGCATGGTAGAAGGTTTCATTTGTCACTAATTTCCTTTTTGGCTGAAGGACGGCTGAAGTGTTTCTTAAGTCTACCGTACAGACTGCAATTATTGCTACACCTCAATAATCACCATCACAGTTTGTGTACCGATCTTTACAGAAGCAATTCAGCCTCTTTATGTTTCTCCTTTCCACCTTACCAACATTTACATGAAGAGCTGCAGCTCGGCGGCAGAACAACTCTTTTTCATTCAGCAGGTCCTAGATTTAATCCCAAATATCTCCTGGAAGGGCTTAGGAAGAAAGCTGCCTGAAATGGTGGAAAACTGTGATCAGTTCTGGGCTAGGTGGACTAATGAACTGATTCAGAAGAAGATCGCTTTCAGAAGAGGCGATCTCTGGATGAAATGGCATGCTTTTCTTTACATATCTGCTGGGTATTTGAGTAGCAGAGTATGATGAAGTTTTTCCCTTCATGCTGATTCTCCCCCTCCTCACTCACTTTTTCAAGGGCCAGATCCAGCATGGTCATGCAACCTGATGGGACGCATGCATCGTACATGACTTCATATTGGATTGGAAGGGTTCTTGACTTCTTCTGCCACACAAAAATGTATGAAATTATGGCAGTGTCTGTGGGGAAATCCCCAGGGAACCCTGCTTGGAAGCCAGCCAAGCAGCAGTTGCATGAAAACCAGGGAGAGATCTCTGATAAATGAAGACAGACTACAGTCTTTAGTTATGATGCATGTCACCGGTGAAGAAGATGTCTGCCTGTAAAATGTCTCCAAAATGTCTCTAAAATGTCTCCAAAATGTCTACCTTCTTCTCCAGAGGCATGTCTTTTTTTATTAAGTACCATCATTTACATAAAGAGAAGAGTTAGCCAATGGCAACATAGGAAGGCATGAGAACAGCAATCCACTATATATGGGAAACAGACAGCTCTCAACATGGTCTCCAATATAAATCTTCTAGCAAGTTTTCTGCATTGTTTCTGACATCTCATCACCCGGATAGTGGCCCCTTGATAGAACATTAGGAGAGCTCCACAGTTTTGCTTGCTGTTGCTGTTAAGTACTCCACTACCTCATCATCAGCTCAAGCTTTCCTTCCTGGGAGCTGAAGAGGGGCAGGTATTATAAATATTAAGATCAGGAACAAGACTGCCCTTCAGAAAAACAAGGGCAGGATCCCAGTGACCAGAAATTTTGCATTGGCTAAAGGTAAAACCAAAGAAAGGAGATGCGAAAGAGCTCAGTAACCATTGTTCTAATTTCCCATGCAAGACAAGGGATGCTTATGGTGTCGCAAGAAAGGCTTTTATCTTATATGGAGTGAGAAATGCCCGGGGTTCAAGATGGATTCTGAAAAGGAAGAGGCTTCAAGATTAGATTGCAAACATCAACTGGCTACTGGAGCACACCAAAGAATTTTAGAAGATCAGTCTATGTTTTATAGACTACAGGAAAGCCTCTGACTACGTGGATCATAAAAAGCTATGGATTATTCTGAAAGAAATGCCTGTCCTTCGGCACTTGATTGTCCTGAAGTGTAACTTGTATTGTGGACAAGAAGCTATCATTAGGACGTGGTGGTGAATAGGGAGAAATAGAATGGTTTCCCATATGCAAATTTGTCAGATGAAGGTACAGTGGTGCCTCGCTTAGCGATCGCTCCGTTTAGCGATGAAATTGCTTTGCGATGAACTTTTCGCAATTGCTTTTGCGATCGCTTTGCGATATTCCCTATGGGGTATTTTCGCTTTGCGATGACCGAGCATGGCCAAGCGACCATTTTCGCACAGCTGATCGGCAGTTTCAAAATGGCTGCCGGGAAAAAAACATGGTCGCCAGCTGTTTTCTGGGACGGATTCCTTGCTTAGGAGGCATCAGAAATGGCTGCCCTATGGAGGATCTTCGCTGAACTGTGAGTTTTAAGCCCATAGGAACGCATTAATCGCGTTTTAATGCGTTTCTATTGGCTTTTTTATTTCGCATTGCGACGTTTTCGTGCAACAGCGATTTTTGCGGAACGAATTAACGTCCCAATGCAAGGCACCACTGTATTTATTTAGATTAGATTTCTACCCACCCCATCTAAAATGTACCTGGTGCCCAAAGGTCTACTCTGGCGGCAGGTACATTTTATCTCCTTATCTTTTCCATTTGTAAGCAGAACATATCATATGGAAAGCGGGAGTAGATTTAAATAAAGGAAGAGTGAAAATTGGTGGAAGAAACATCAATATAAAGATGTGTTGATGACAGCATCTTATTGGCAGAAACAGCAACGACTTGAAACAATTTCTGATGAAAATGAAAGAAAAGTGCCAAAGCAGGCTTTCAGTTGAACATTAAGTAGACAAAAATCATACCTACAGAAGAACTACTGTACATAGCTTTGATATTGGCAATGAAGAAACTGAAATTGTTAAAGATTTTGTATGCCTTGGTTCTATCATCAGCCCAAATCCAAATGGAGACTAGAGCCAAGAAATCAGAAGACTGAGGCTAGGAAGGGCAGCAATGAAGGAATTAGGAAAAGTAATCAAGTGTAAGGCTGTGTCACTGGAGACCAAAACCATCTACGCTAGTGTATTGCCGATCACTATGTACAATATTGTTGTGAAAGCTGGACAGTCAATAAAGCTGATAGGAAAGAAATTGATTTGTTTGAAATATGGTGCTGGAAGATATCTTTGCTGATACACTGCCAGAAAGATGAACCAGTGCATCCTAGCCTGAACTTTCTCTGGAGACAAAAATAACAAAACTGAGGTGGTCATACTTGGGGAAGATTCTCTGGAAAGGATAATAATGTTAGAAAAAGTGAAGGAAGCAAGAAAAATATGAGATGGGTTGACTTCATAAAGGAAGCCACACTTTTGAGTTTACAAGAACTGAGCAGGCTGTTGAGGTCAGGGTGTTATGGAGTTCACTCACCACTATGTCTAAGCTTAATTTTGAGTGGTCTCCATATGGTAGGAATAATGTTTCAGCCACAGCACCTGCAAAGGCCAATTGGTTGCAGGGTACTATGAGTAAATGGGAACTATGCATCTAGACCAGCACTTTCTGAACTATTGTGAATGTTTCAATAAATAAAAAAGGTAGATGTTCCTCCTGTGAATGTAGTCTTCCAACACATCATAAAATGCACTGCTTTCCTCTTCCAGGAAGGGGCATATGTGACTGCATCTTTCCATCAATTCTAAGATGCACGCTCTAATACTGGATGCCCATTGTATCTCTGCATGAGTCCTTGCTCTGACTTGATCTTCTTCCAGACAGACTCCTGCCTGACTGGAACGAACCAGTTGGTTTTCAATGTGTTTTTAATACAATGGTGTCCCGCATAGCAACGATAATCTGTTCCGGATAAATTGTCACGATCTGGATTCGTTGCTATGCGGGGCAAAACCCCCCATAGGAACGCATTAAACCCTGTTTAATGCGTTCATATGGGGGAAAACTCACCACTAACCGGAAATCCTCCATAGGGGCGGCCATTTTCGGTGCCTCTAAAGCAAGGCAACACAGCCGGCGGCCATTTTGGAACCGCCGCTCAGCTGGGGGAAAATGCCGGCAGTGACCTCGGAAGGAAGGGGCTTTCTCCAATGTCGGGGGGGGGGCTTTGAGAGAGCTCCAAAGGTGCCGCTCGCGGCGGCGGGGACATCCAGGGAGGTCTGCCAGGGCTTGCCCGCCACCATGGGAGACCTCCCTGGGGGTCTCTGCCACCATGATCAGCACCTTCTGAGGTCTCCAAGG